CACCGTCCACAGGCAGTTGGGTGGGTTATCCTTCCTGCTTCTGGGTGATGTCATGAAGAGTGACCTCAGAACCACCAAGCAAGACAAACGTGGTTTCTCTCTGTGACATTTGTTATCAAGGATGCAGGAAAATGGGTTGTCATACGTGACATAGAAATATGCCCCATCTCAGAAACACTAAGGCACAGGCTAAATGACCAGCCTGTGTATGGCTTGGTTTGACATCTGTGTGCTGGAGTGAAAGAAGGAGGCAGGGATAAAAAGAGCATTTTATCACCTGATGTGTAGCAACAACCAACAATTTCTTTCCAGCCCCTGTTCTTTGTTAAAGACAAAATATATGACCTTCTTCCTAAAGGCCAGGTTGGATGGTCTTGAGCAACCTGGTTTAATGTGAAGTGTCCCTGCCCATGGCAGGGGCTGGAACTAGATGATCTTAAGGTCTTTTCCAACCCAAACCTTTCTATGATTCTATGGAACTGTGCTACCTACAAGTCCATACCAGCTGCTCCACAATGAGACTCAAGCCCCTCAACCAGTGGGACCTGGACTTTTGAGTGGTGCCCTAATTCACACAGCAAAGACACAGGGAAAATTCTTAAGCCAGCAGTGGGACTTTTTCTTCTGTCAGAAACATCTCAGCTTCGAGTTATGGGATGCAGCAGAACAGAACATCAGTCATCAGGGTCAGATGAACCACCCCATGGTCCATCAGTGTGGCATGGAGATGGCTGTTACGGTGGACAGTGAGGAGTCTGCAGAGATCAGCAACAAGTCCCCACACAGGTGAAACATGCTCATATTTATACTCTCAGGTGCTCCAAAATCCAGTGACATCAGAATCTGGCTTTTCCAGACAGCAGGGAGATACCAAGGCCTCTCACATTGAGACTAGAGCACTTTGTGGGTTTTTTTTGTTATTGTTGTTGCATTTCTCTTTATTACTTTCTTGGAAACCTCACAACATTTAACTAACAAAATTTTCAAGGAATTGATACTCCTTTATTTGGACTTGGGGAACTGAAGCATAAAAGCAGATTGAAGCAATGTCCACACTGAAAACAATTCAATTACAGCTGCTTAGAGCCTGCCTTTTCTTCACAATTTACATTTATGTTCACAACAGGCTCCTATTGGCCTCAGCTGTGGCTGCACACTAACTCAGAGCAGATCACAGGGCATCCTTGTATCCAAGGGTTTTGGAGACAAGACCCTAGGAAGAGTTCATTAATGTAATTCACCTGCAGCAGGCAGGATCTTTGTGGAATAGGTGGTCAAAACCCCACTCCTCAGCATGCTTCACCATAACTGTAGTGACAGGACAAGGGGTGATGGGTTTAAACTGAAACAGGGAAAGCTCAGTTTAGATAGAAAGAAGAAGCTCTTCCCTGTGAGGGTGCTGAGGCGCTGGCACAGGGTGCCCAGAGAAGCTGTGGCTGCCCTATCCCTGGCAGTGCTCAAGGCCAGGTTGGACACAGGGGCTTGGAGCAAGCTGCTGCAGTGGAAGGGGTCCCTGCCTGTGGCTGGGGCTGGAACTGGATGAGATTTAAGGTCCCTTTCAACCCAAACCAGGCTGGGATTCTATGCTTGTCTGTTTCTACCACTCCATCCTTACTTGCTACCTACCTGCCAATCTTTACCACAGATAGAGCAGCATTCTGGTGACCAATCACCTAATAAATGGCCTGAGCACAGAAAAGGATAATGGGTTTATTCCATATATATGCTATAAGGAGGGTTTCTGCTTCTTAGTATTTAGTGGTATAATTAATGTCTAGTAAATTCCAATTTCTCTGTTATTGTTCAAATACAAAATGTTCTCAAAACATTTTTATATCTGTCACGGAACCAGCAAATTCAGGCTAAATGAAATCTACAGTTCAAACTCAATTAAAGCTCCACCAACGTCAACTGCAGCTTCAGGAAGTCACATGGATTCATCATTGGATTCTTAAACTTTATGGCCAGCGTTTCAAAGTGTGCAATCACTCACATGGTGATGGGTGCGCTGTCAATCTCCAGGAGTCTCCAAGGAGGACTGACTCCAAATAGCTCTCTGGCAGGGCTCCATTCATACCCTGGTCCTGTCTGAGCTGTGGTGAGGTATGGCCATGTAGCCCCCATAGGCTCAGGACCCAACTTTCTCACTTGTCAGGGCTTTGTACCTTCCACAGTATCCCAAAGGAAATTGGGGAGCAGAGGCTCAGTGCAGCAGAACTGCAGTGGAGCAGGATAAAATTAGCCCAAATCACCTGACGCTATCAGCAGATTAATATCATTGATTAGTTTCTGATTTGATTCTGAATCCAGGAGGTTCCTTGATTGTGTGGAAGACAACTTCCTTCTGCAGGTAATAGAGGAACCGACAAGGAGAGGTGCCATGCTTGACCTCGTGCTCACCAACAGGGAAGGGCTCGTTGGAAATGTGACGCTCCAGGGCAGCCTTGGATGCAGCGACCCCGAGATGGTCAAATCTGAGATGCTCAGTACAGTGAGAAGAGTGTGCAGCAAGCTCCCTGCCCTGGACTTCAGGAGAGCAGACTTTGGCCTCTTCAGGAACCTGCTCAGTAAGGTTCCATGGGATACAGCCCTAGAGGGCAGGGGCGCCCAAGACTGTTTGCTGATATTCAAGGGTGACCTGCTCCAAACTCAGGAGCATTGTGTCCTGACAAGCAAATGGGACAGGAAGGCCATGAGACTTCCATGGATGGATAAGGAGCTGAGGAAAAACTTAGAGGTGAAAAAAGCAGCTTATAAAAGGTGGAAGCAAGGACAGGCAGCCTGGGAAGAGTACAGGGATGTTGTCCAGGAAGCTAGTGACCAGGCCAGGAAAACTAAGGCCCAGTTAGAACTGAGTTTGGCAAGGGATGTGAAAGATAACAGGAAGGGATTCTATAGGTATGTAACAATAAAAGACAGACTAGGGACAACATGGGTCCCATCCGGAAGCTGTCAGGAGAACTGGCTGTCCTGGAGTTGGGGAAGGCTGAGGTTCTGAATGACTTCTTTGCCTCATCCCTCACTGGCAAATGCTCTGAGCACACCAACCAAGTCTTGGAAGGCAGACGCAGGGACTGTGAGAATGAAGACCTTGGGCCCACTGTAGGAAAGGATCTGGTTCGAGACCATCTTAAAAATCTGAATGTGCACAAGTCCATGGGTCCTGATGAAATCCATCCACGGGTCCTGAAGGAGCTGGCGAATGAAGTTGCTAAGCTGCTGGCCGTCATATTTGAGAAATCCTGGCAGTCAGGTGAAGTTCCCGACGACTGGAAAAAGGGAAATATAACCCCCACTTTCAAGAAGGGGAAAATGGATGACCCGGGGAATTACAGACCAGTCAGTCTCACCTCTGTGCCTGGCAAAGTCTTGGAGCAGGTTCTCCTGGAAGGCATGCTAAGGCACATGAAAAACAACAAGGTGCTTGGTGACAGCCAGCATGGCTTCACTAAGGGGAAATCCTGCCTGACCAATTTGGTGGCCTTCTATAATGGGGCTACAGAACTGATGGACAGTGGTAGAGCAGTTGATGTCATCTACCTGGACTTGTGCAGAGCGTTCAACACTGTCCCACGCTATATCCTTGTCTCTAAAGTGGAGAAACATCAGTTTGATAGGTGGACCACTCGGTGGATAAGGAATTGGCTGGATGGCCGCACGCAAAGAGTTGTGGTCAAAAACTGAAAAAGGGGAAGCTTGTATTGGATATAAGGAATCAGTTTTTCCCTGTAAGGGTGGTGAGGCACTGGCACAGGCACCCAAAGAAGTGGTAAATGCTCCATCCCCGGCATTGTCCAAGGCCAGACCTGACAGAGCCTTGGACAACATGGTCTAGTGTGAGGTGTCCCTGCCTGTGTCAGAGGGCTTGGAAGTATATGTTCTTAAGGTCCTTTCCAACCCAAACCAATCTGTGATTCTATGATTCTATTTAATTCTTGTTATCAGAGATGTTTTGCCTAGGGTTTGTCAACCCAACTGAAAATAAGCAAAATAAATAATGATGCTTACATATATCAGAGCTGCTCAGCCATTACTTCACTGTTGAGCTGCAGGTTGTGTTCTCACTGTATTGGGATTTTAATGTTGTTTGTGCATATGGTTTTCTATGTAATAGCTGAAAATAAAACATCAATACCCTCCTCACGGCAGGCAGCAGAGCTGGTACATGGAAGTCCCCTCCAGCTTATGCTTGTGTTTTCCCTAATACCCAGTTTTCACATCCCTAGATGCCACCAATTATTTTCCTTACTTTACTCCTTTCCACACCTTTGGCTGGTTTGTTGAACCAGGTACCTGACACCTACCAACAAAAAACAAGAAGAATCCCCCCAGGCACCCTCATTCCCACACCACAGCCTATTTTCCCAGTTTGTTGCACCTGATTATCATGGAGAGAACCAAATCAGGTGCATTTCTGGGCAGGCAATAAAAGCAGTTGTGAAGGGTTTGATAGTCCTGGTTTCATCTGGGATAGTAGCTGGTGCAGTGCTCTGTTTGGGCTTTGGTATGAGAATAATGCTACCAACACGTTGATGCTTTGGTTATTGGTTAGTACTTACTCTTTGTTCAGACTCATGCTGTGCCAGTGAGGAGGGGCACGAAAAGGAAGTAGAGGCACGATACCTGACCTGAGCTAGCCCAAGGGATATCCCGAACAATGGAACATCATGCTCTATATGGACACTGGGGGGAGCTGGCCAGGAGGGCTGTCAGCCTTCCCTGCAGCTCAGCCCTGGGAAGAGAGAGGGGTTCCCTGCACCCTCCGAGAGCATGCGCTGCGCTGCCGGGGATGCGGGGCAGGCAAGGACCGCGGGATCGGGCTGTGGTTGGAGGGTTTGTACTGGACGTCACATGGTCTGTACATGGTCACATGTACTGGGCGTCACATGATCGGGCTGTGGTTGGCGGGTTTGTGCTGGACGTCACATGGAAAGGAACGAACGCACGCGCACGCTCCCCGCGCGCAGGGTCTGGAGGCGGAGCCTAGCGCGCCCCGCCCCGCCCCGGGGCCACAGGGATGGCGGCGGGCGCGGTACTGCTGAGCGGCTCCAACCGCGGTATCGGGCTGGGGCTGGTGAAGCGGCTCCTGCGGACACCGCCAACCCCCGCCTGGATCTTCGCGACCTGCCGGGACCCCGCGGCGCCGCGGGCCCAGGTCAGCGCGGGGAGGGGCTGGGGTTTGGGTTTGTCCTCGTGGGTGCCGGCATCAGCCATGGGTGCAGGAGGATGCGGGCAGGAACGCGCTCGGTGCGAGGGGAGCGCTGCCGTCAGGGCAGGGCTCTCGGTGTGCCGTGTTCTACACGGGCTGACAGCCCTCTGCTTGCCTGTTGTGCCTCAGCCGAAGGATCAGCCGTGTCACCCCCGACAACCGCGCTGCCGGGCTGTTTGAGACCACCTCGGCTGTGTCCCAGCCGGCCTGCCCGTGCCGAACCTTTGCCCATGGGCTGTGGCACAGCGCCGCCTGGCGCGGTGTTGGCGCTGAGGAGGGTCAGGCTGCTGTGAACCTCAGTAGTTCGGTTCTGCAGCGGGTCACCGCTTCCCAAAACCCGGGGGGCCGTTAACCGGTGGCCCGTGGAGCTCTGGGATCTTCCTTTCCCTGCTCTGCTCTACACTGAAATGGGAGAGACTCACACGTGAGGAATCGCAGGAGTAAAGCATCCACAAAGCTCCAGCTTTCCTTAGCTCCCGCTTTGGTTTTCTGCCTTCTGTGACCCACCACAGCTTGCCATACAGTGCGGTGTGTGCCTTAGGAAGCCCTTGGGATGCTCTCTGTGTACTTGCTGCTGGTGTCACTCCAGCCTGTGCAGTGAGAACTCACCCTGCTGCCAGCCTGGTGTGCGCAGCTCCTGCTGCTGCTGCTGCCCACGTTCAGGGGGTCAGAATGAGCTCAGATTTCTGGGTTGGAAGGGACCTCAAAGCTCATCCAGTTCCAAGCCCCTGCCGTGGGCAGGGACCCCTTCCACTGGAGCAGGTTGCTCCAAGCCCCTGTGTCCAACCTGGCCTTGAACACTGCCAGGGATGGGGCAGCCACAGCTTCTCTGGGCACCCTGTGCCAGCGCCTCAGCACCCTCACAGGGAAGAGCTTCTGCCTAAGAGCTCAGCTCAGTGTCCCCTCTGTCAGGTTCAAGCCATTCCCCCTTGTCCTGTCCCTACAGGCCCTTGTCCAAAGCCCCTCTCCAGGTCTCTTGTAGGCCTTCTTCCCCCCCAACTTTCTGGACTATGGCAATGATGAGCTCAGAGGACTTTCTGCAGGCCTGGACTGGAGCCAGTGTCTCCCCAGAGTAGTCCATGCACATTGCTTTCCACTGGGGGATGCTTCTCTAAGCCTTGTACAGCTGTGTGGTTGACAGTTGCCTTTTTGGAAAGGGCTTCTGAATCCTCCATGTTTGGTAAAAATAATTAAAACATGCAAATAAGTGGTTAATTTTTCTTGAGGGGGGGGAGATGTAGTATCCGGGCAGAGTGGATGGGATTGGGCTATTGGGATACAGATGTGATTTCCCTATACATCAGCTTGGCAATCACAGGCATTCCTCCTCCATCTCACTTACAGCAGTCACTGGGGGACACTTCTGGCTATATCCCTGGCCAGTTCGCATTACTTCCCCAGGGAGCTGGTCCTTAGTAGTTGCTCTCACCCTTTGCTGTGGCTCTGGCTGGGTGATGGACATAGACCCTTTGGGAGAGTGGCCACAGTACCCTGCAGTTTTGGCCATGCCGTGCTCTGAGCACATGGACATGACTTTGTGGAGACTAGCAGAAGCCTGAGAACCTCAGCAGACCCAGCCCAGCTGTTCACAAGCACTGAGTAACATCTGGAAGATGTTTCCCTCAGGGTGGGACCATTGCTGGTGCTCCAGCAATGTGCTTTGCATTGCCTCTGCCTTCTGCTGATTGTTTCCGTGTCTCTTTTTGTAGGAGCTGAGAGATCTGGCATCCAAACACCCAAAACTGGTTATTGTGAAGCTGGGTAGGTGTGCTCTGCCTCTGAGTTGGTAAATCTGTGGCTGGTAAAATGGGGCCACACTTGCCCCTTTCCTTCTTCCCTCCCTACCTGCCTTCAGGTTCTATGTGGGGATTCAGCTCTTCAGAGCTGCTTCAAGTCCTGCTGGCAAAAGCCCAGCTTCTCCAGGCCTCTCTCAGCCCTAGCACCCTGTTCCCTGAACCCTCCTTGCCCCGTGGCCACAGGACCAGGAGGTTCCTAAGACCTATCTTGGGCAGCCTTCAGTTCCTCCAGGTGAATGGCTGCATCCTTGCTGTGCATACAGCTGAGCTGCCTTGATCCCAGGTCCCAGGTGAGACCAGGAAGGCAGCTCCTGTGGAAATGCTGAGATCAGCCCAGAGCCTGGGCAGGAGCTGTAGGACCTGGCAGAGTCATCCCAGAGCAGACCCTATAGAGACCATGTCCCTGCAACCTCCCGAGGCTGCCCTGGTTTCTCCAGAGCTTGCTCAGCCATGGACCCTGCCCACTGGCAGAGGCTGACGCAGCATGGGAGTCCCAGCAGTGCTTTGCCACCGTGGATTGTCCCCAGCTGGCTTTGCCCCCTGGACTGCCCCAGGGCAGGATGCTTCAGCTGCGGGCAGTGGGGTGAAGAAGGCAGTTTTGGGGTGAGCTGGGGCTTGTGGGTGCCAGGATGCGCTGAGCTGGTTGCAGAGCACCATCTGGTGCCCAGAGATGGAAGACCACACAGGTCGGGGTTCCTGGATGTTACTCAGCATCATAACCTCCCTCCTCTTCCCGGGTGGACCCTGTGGGTCTCAAACCCTTCTCTCCTCCACTGCAGATGTTGCAGATCCCTCCACCATTACAAAGGCAGTGAAGATCGTGGAGGAGAAGCTGAATGGCGCAGGCTTGAACCTGCTGATAAACAATGCTGGCATCTACAACCTGGAGGCATCGCTGGAGACAGTGGATGCTGAGGAGATGATAAGAACATACAAGACCAATGCAGTGGGGCCACTGCTCATGGCCCAGGTATGGATGAAGCTCTGGGGATAATGCTTACCATGGAGTGTGGATTTGACCCAGCTGAAGGGTAGCTGGGGCTGACTATGGTCGTGAGGCTGCACCTCAAATCCTGTGTTCAGTTCTGGGCCCCTCACTACAAGAGAGACTTTGAGGTACTGGAGCAGGTCCAGAGAAGGGCAGCGGAGCTGGGGAAGGGCCTGGAGCACAGGGGTGATGGGGAATGGCTGAGGGACCTGAAGGGGGTTTAGTCTGGAGATGAGAAGGCTCAGGGGGGGTCCTTGTTGCTCTCTACAACTACTTGAAAGGAGGATGGAGCCAGGAGGTGGCTGGTCTCTGCTCCCAAGGAACAAGGGGTAGGACAAGAGGAAATGGCCTCAAGCTGCACCAGAGGAGGTTTAAACTGGATGTCAGGGACAATTTCTTCCCCAGAGGGTGCTCAGGCATTGGAACAGGCTGCCCAGGGCAGTGGTGGAGTCACCATCCCTGGAAGTGTTCACACACCGTGTAGATGAGGCCCTCAGTGCCATGGGTCAGTGGTGGCCTCGGCAGTGCTGGGGAAGGGTTGGACCTGATGATCTTAAAGGTCTTTCCCAACATTATTTGGAAAATATTCTATGATTCTGTGATGGAGATTTCAGAGGGCTTTTCCATGTTTTCCAGGGCTGCAGGAGGGATGGGTTAGTGCTGGGGCTGTGCTCCCAGCCCAAGCCCTCTATACCCCTTGTTTTGTGTTGGGCTAACTGGGAGCACTGAAGCAAACACCCAGCTCTCTTGGCTTCCCACTGTTCTTCTTCCTCCACCCTGCTGCAGTCAGACTGGGCTGCAGCTGCCATAAGCGGGGCTGGCTCAGGGCACAGGTTCCCACAGGGTTGCTTCTCCCCAGGCATTCCTGCCCCTGCTGAAGAAAGCTGCCCGGAAGAGCACAGACAAGGGGCTGAGCTGCAGCAGGGCAGCCATCATCAACATCTCTTCTGTGCTGGGGTCCATTGAGAAAACTCCTCAGTGCTTCTTCAAGCCTGTCATCTCCTACCGCTGCAGCAAGGTATGGGGACTGGGAATCGTGAGCTTGGTGGGAGTCTGAGCTGCCTGATGTCAGTGAGGCACCTGAGATTGAGATGGAGGGTCTCATCCATGCTGATCACTGCCCAAGCTTCCTGGGCACCCACATGCCCAGCTGCTGCCTTCCCAGGGCAGAATACAGTCTCTTGAAGACCTGGCATTGCCTTTTCTCCCATGGGAGGGGAGCCTTGTGCATGGAGCTTTCTGCTGCCCATGGCTGATGCTTCTTTCCTCCCCCAGGCTGCCCTCAACATGCTCACCAGGTGCCAGGCTCTGACCTACAGGGAAGCCGGGATCCTCTGCGTGGCGCTTCACCCTGGCTGGGTGAAAACCGACATGGGTGGCCAGGAGGTGGGTCCTGGCTGAGCAGGTCGAGAGGGGCACCCATGGGTGGGTCACAAGCCTACAGACATGCAGAGGGGTGCCTGGGCTGGCTGAGATGGATGGCTGTCAGGAGCAGGGGTCCATGGGAAAATGAGCTGCCTCTTGGGCTCCTGGTTGCCCGTGTCTGTGCTGAGCCACTGCAGAACATGTGGGTGCTGCCTGGGAAACAGCACCAGCACATGTCCACGGTGAGCAGGAGGATGTTCAGGGGGATAAGGGGTTTTTGCAGCCTGGAGATGTGCAAAGAACCTGAATCTGACTGAGCAGGGAGGGGAGGAGCAGCACCATCCCATCCTCTGTCCCCTTCATCAAAGAGCTGCAGGTCCATGAGATCTCCTCTCATCCTGCAGGATCCCTGTTTTGGGGTGGGGGTGGCTCCTGCAGCACTGGGATCCTGAGAAAGCTGCACATAGCATCCCACTTGCAGCAGGGATCTCTTATGCGTCCTGCTGGGTTAAACCTGTTGTTGGCTTCCCAGCCCAAGCCACCGTCATCCAAGCCACCAGAAAGCATGCAGATACCCAGCCATCCTCCCATGTAACAGACCCTTCCCACCTCCTGCAGCTCTCTGCATGGTTTGGGTGGAAGGAGCCTTGCTGATGATGGGCATGGGCTGAGCAGGTGCTAGTGGATGGCTGGGAATAAAAGGATGGGATCCAGAGAGACCCTGTCTGGCTGGAGAGATGGGACCGTGTGAACCTCATGGAGTTCAACAGGGCCAAGTGCAAGGTCCTGCCCCTGGGCAATCCCAAGCACAAACAGGCTTGGGAAGACTGAATGGAGCAGTCCTGAGGAGAAGGACTTTGGGTGTTGATTAATGAGAAGCTCCCCATGACCTGGCAGTGTTTCCTTGAGCCTAGAACTACCCTCCTCTGTCATAGAATCATAGAATGGTTTGGGTTGGAAAGATCATCCAGTTCCAACCCCGCTTATGCAGGCAGGGAAGCCTCATCCTAGACCATGTTGCCCAAGCCCCATCAAACCTGGCCTTGAACACTGCCAGGGATGGGGCAGCCACAGCTTCTCTGGGCACCCTGTGCCAGCGCCTCAGCACCCTCACAGGGAAGAACTTCTGCCTGATGTCTAACATGAACTTCCCTGTTTAAGCCCATCACCCCTTGTCCCAAGCCCATCACCACCTACAGTCCCTAATGAAGAGTCCCTCCCCAGCATCCCTTCAGATACTGGAAGGCTGCTATGACGTTTCCACGCAGCCTTCTCCAGGCTGAACAGCCCCAACTTTCTCAGCCTGTCTTCATACGGAGGTGCTCCAGCCCCTGAGCATCCTCATGGCCCCCTCTGGACTTGTTCCAACAGATCCATGTCCTTTTTATGTTGAGGACACCAGAACTGCACACAATACTCCAGGTGAGGTCTCACGAGAGCAGAGTAGAGGGGCAGGATCACCTCCTCCGACCTGCTGGTCACACTGCTGGGGATATAGCCCTTGTTTCTGTCCACTGTTTCAAGTGGACACTGAAATCGGCTCATGTTCAGTTTCTTGTCAACCAACACCCCCAAGTCCTTCTCCTCAGGGCTGCTCTGGGTCTCTTCTCTGCCCAGTCTGTAGCTGTGCCTGGGATTGCCCCAACCCAGGGGCAGGAGCTGGCACTTCACTTTATTGAGTTGTATCCTTTCCTACAGTGGGCCCAAGGTCTTCATTCTCACAGTCCCTGTGTCTGCCTTCCAAGACTTGGGTGGTGTGCTCAGAGCATTTGCCAGTGAAGACCAAGGCAAAGAAGTCATTCAGAACCTCAGCCTTCTCCAAACCCAGGGTAGTCAGTTCTGCTGATAGCTTCCGGAGGGGACCCATGTTGTCCCTAGTCTGTCTTTTATTGTTGCATACCTATAGAATCCCTTCCTGTTATCTTTCACATCCCTTGCCAAACTCAGTTCTAACTGGGCCTTAGCTTTCCTAACCTGGTCCCTGGCTTCCCGGACAACCTCCCTGTACTCTTCCCAGGCCGCCTGTCCTTGCTTCCACTTTCTATAGGACTCTTTTTTCTATTGAAGTTTCCTCAGCAGCTCCTTATCCATCCAAGGAGGTCTCCTGGCCCTCCTGCTGCACTTCCTTCTAGTTGGGATGCAGCACTCCTGAGCTTGTAGCAGGTGACCCTTGAAGACCAACCAAGAGTCTTGGGCCCCCCTGCCCTCTAGGGCTATATCCCATGGAACCTTACTGAGCAGGTTCCTGAAGAGGCCCAAGTCTGCTCTCTTGAAGTCCAGGGCAGTGAGCTTGCTGCACGCTCTTCTCACTGTCCTGAGGATCTCAGATTCGACCATCTCATGATCGCTGCACCCAAGGCAGTAACCTTAGAGCAGCTCCAGTGCCTAAAGAGGGTACAGGAAACCTGGAGAGGGGCTTTGGACAAGAGCCTGTAGGGACAGGACAAGGGGGAATGGCTTTAACCTGACAGAGGGGACACTGAGATGAGCTCTTAGGCAGAAGCTCTTCCCTGTGAGGGTGCTGAGGCGCTGGCACAGGGTGCCCAGAGAAGCTGTGGCTGCCCCATCCCTGGCAGTGTTCAAGGCCAGGTTGGACACAGGGGCTTGGAGGAACCTGGTCTAGTGGAAGGTGTCCCTGCCCGTGGCAGGGGGGTGGAACTGGGTGAGCTTTAAGGTCCCTTCCAACCTAGAGCAGTCTGTGACTCTGAGAACGACAGTGGTGTCTTGGTCCTGCTCACTTACGCCCATTGCAGGCTGACCTGACGGTGGACACAAGTGTGCAAGGACTGCTGTCTCTACTGCCGATCCTCTCTGAGAAACACCACGGGACTCTGCTCAGCTGGGAAGGTAAAGCTATTCCTTGGTGACCACTCTGTCCCTGTGAGGGACCCTGCAGTGGGGACTCCCTGAGTGCCCTGGAGCACCTGCATGCTCAGCTCTCCATGACCTTAAAGGGATCTTCACCAGGCATGCAGGGCAGCCTGTGACCCTGCCTTTACTCTGCCAATAAAGTTAATCAGTCCCTGTGCCTTCCCCTAGCAATGCTCCATGAGACTGTCTCTGCCCCTGGCCTGGAGCTGGGCCCTGCAAAAAAATGCATCACCAAAGCATGGTGTCTTTGCGACAGATTCCCTGGAGGGGGCTTGGTGCTGGACACGTTATCCATGGGAGCAGTCTTGAGGCTGGAATGGGAGGGCCAAGCACCACAGTCTAGTTCTGCAATCTCACACAGCCAACTCTTCCCATAGTGGAGACCCAGTGGGGCACGGTACCCCTAGGTGGGAGAAATCTGCTTTGTTGTGGAGCACAACAGGGGAATGGCACTGCTGTGGGATGGAGAAGCTGAGAACGTCAGTAAGATGGGGCTGGGCAGCACTGGGCTGCATGGGTTTGTCCAGGAGGTGGTTAACAGCCTCAGAGAGAAGGCCTCTGGGGTGGTGCTGGGTTTTCTCGGGAAGGTTCTGCTTCTTCGGGATAGAGGTTCTCTTTGAGGAGCATGCAGAAAAGGGGACGGGGCTCCTGTGAAACCAAACCGAGTCTCAGGTGGGCAGAGCAGCCTGGCTCGCAGGAGAGGCAAACCTGCTGCTCCTTCCCTCAGGGATCACCACCTCTTCTTTCTCATGTGGAAGATCTGCAGGAGCCCCTCATTCCCTATGGAACTGGTCCCTTCTGGGGTCATACCTTTCCCTGAACCCGGGCCTTGCCCAGCAGCACCAGCCTTGCTGGGAATCTTGAGGCCATGTGCTGGCCTGCACAGGAGCATTTCCCATCCTGGAGCACAAATGCTGTGGTCCCCCCACCCCAGGCTTCAACCCAGCCCCAGGCAGACAGAGCATCAGGCAGACTGCTGGGCTTGGGCCATGTTTCTGTCCCACCAAGGCAAGTCCTGGCACCCAGCCTGGTAAATCACAGGTACTGGCGACCTTTCCGTCCTCACCCGCTCCAGTTCCTCCACAGCCAGTGGCATTTTGGTAGCCAAGACTCTGTAAAGAAAGGGGACAGCAGGGAGCATCTGCAGCCCGGGCTCAGGGACAGGGGGCCTGCGGCTGGAGGTGGCCGTCCGAGCTTGTAAGCTTGGACCCCTGACTCCTTGTACCGCCTTCTTGGTGGTCCCAAGCAGCACAACACAAGTGCCCAGCCAGGGATAGCAAAGGGAAATGCCCCTGTGGAGTTCAGGGGTGCTGGGAGCATCCCCACATGAAGAGGGTGTCTTCCTCTCCACAGACATATTCCATAATGAATGGGCACGTCCTTTCTGGAGTGATTGCAGGAGCACCTGGGTCCTGCTTCTCTCTTGGAGCTGGGGTTTTGCTGCCCCATCCCTGGCATGGGGGTGATGCCAGCCCCCACTGGCTGTGCCAGAGGAAGCCATGGCCTGATCCTGCTGCTGTGTGGCTGTGTGACACTGCCAAGCCTCCACTGAGTGCCCTTCCTGCCCCTTGGCAGAGGTTCTCCTGCTCCAGTTGCTCCACACAAGCAAGCTGGAGCCTGTCGAGTGACTACAGGTAGAGTCCATGTCCATAGCTCTCTGTGTGCCTCCCTTCTCCCACCACTGCTTGCAGGTGGTTTACAGCTCCCACCATGACTATTGCCAGTCCCACGAGATGGATGCAGCTGCTCTTCTGGGAACACAGGGAGAAAAGCGGGCTGCTGAAAGCTGGGAAAAGCTCCATCAGCTTGGCTGGTGGTGTGCAGAGCTGGGACACAAGATGGTTGCCCACCTACTGTGGCAGTGAGGTTTTGAGTGAGCTCAGGAGGCTGATTAATGTGTGAGCATCTTCCTCCAGCCCCCTGGCAATGGGGACGTCACAGCATGGGCAAGGCCCCCAGGATGTGGGCATCCCTGTGTGCCCCTGCGGTGTGAGGAGGAAGGGGGAGCTCTGCAGGTAAAGAACTCTGACATTGCTAGAAGCCCAGCTGTGGGGATGAGAACCGATGGCTTCAGCATCTCTGTTCTGAAGCTGGAGGAGAGGTGCAGCTGCACCAGCACATGGGTGCAGGAGGCTGCTGGGCCCAAAGGTAGGGAAATGGGGACAACCCCTCGGGGACCTTTCACACAAGAGCTTGGGAACGTCTGGGGACTTCCAGGGGCAATGAGGGGGGAGGTCGGGGGGAGGCTGTCACCCAGAGCTTCTCGGTCTGTCAACCCCTGTGGAGCCATAGTAGCACCTGTGGGCAAACACCTATCTGCTCTGGAGAGCCCAGCAGCACTCCAGGGATTCACTTCAGGGCTGGGAAGGGCCCATATTTTCCATGGTCCTCCACCAGCTGCTTTCTTTCAGGCCAATGGCCACAGGCAAAGACTTGTGCACCAGCATCTGAGGTCAGGTCCATGGGTGAGGACGGGAGTGGGGATGACATGAGGAGTCATGGTAAATCAGAGGTACTGGTGACAGGAGGACTGGGCAGAACCAGGACAAGACCCGTTCTGAGAGGCAACCTCCCGTGGCAAACAGCAGCGGCAGAGCCCTGGTGAGAGGCAAAGCCCGCTTCAGGAGAGGAGGCTGGGAGGGGAAGAGGGCTGCTCCTGTGACACAGATGTGACTGAGGAGGTGGAGCAGGAGGCAGGTCACAAACAGCCAGCACACGAGGAAGCACCAGGATATCAGCCAGTGCGGTCAGGGTGGCCGCAGCAGCCCTGGTGCAGCAGACCCACACCGGCCAGGAAAGGACCAGGAGCAGAGGCAACCAGGACTGCAGGGACCTCAGCCAGGACGTGGGGATCCCCTGGTCAGAAGCCTTCTTCCAGCCGAAAACACCTCCTCATTCTGCAAGGTGAGGACAGTGTCCATGGCACAGGGGGATGGGGCAGCAGGGTGCTCACAATGGGGACACCTTGGCCCCAGGTGACCATTCCCAGAGCCACCAGCAGTGGGGTACACTGATGCTGGGAAGCCTGGATTGTCAGAGAACTGCAGCTCTATGTGGGGTGCTGGGGTCCGGGGCTGCCACCAAAGTACCAGGAATCAGCCTGGGTGCATGGGAAACAGGGCTCAGGAGGAAGCTCATCCCAGAACCTGCAGCACAAGGGCTGCCAAGGAAGACAAGTGGGGCCAGCAGATAATGTCCAGAGGCTTCCTCCAGCAGCTGCGGGGCTGGGTTGCTCCATTGCTATCTGCCCCCTGCAGAGCCTGGTGCATCCTTGTCCCTCTGCTCTGTTATTGTTAGCCGGGAGGAAGCAGCTCAACAAGTCCCACCTCAAGCTTTTAACCCACTGCTGCCCCTTCTGCTGCTCTCTGCTCCAGCCTGCTTTAGCTGGTCTGGGAGAATGGCTTGGTACTGGGACTTCCTGTAGGCTTTACCTCTCTTCTGGGGACCAGTAGCACCTCCAGGAGGTCTCCCCCCAACCCATGTTGTCTTCCATTGGTCTCCCACACCCACTCTTGCAAAGGATGGATGCTGGCATTGCCATCTCTCAGTGTGGGGAGAAAAGGTTGTGAAGGCTTCTAGGTGCTGATGATTCCCTCCTTGCTCTCTCTTCCTCCTTTTAGTTGGTGGGATTCCCCCTGGTCTGCAAAGGTGGGACCATGGAGGTGGAAGCTTTGCACAGTTTTAGCCCAAACACCTAAGGAAATCCATCTTGTGGAAGGCAATTGCAGCACTTCACTGGCTTTGTTTGGTGACCCGGGTTTTCACTGAACCCTGCCGTCTCCAGAGGTGCTCCTGCTGCTCCTTTGGGAAGTGGAAATCAGCCAGACGTTTCAGCAGCCTCCTCCAGGCTGTCGCCTTCTCCCACACCTGAACTCTGCCACACTGCTTCTCAGGCTGGGGCTGCATCCTCCAAGGCGATGACCACCAGGGGACACCTTCCCTGAGCACCACTGTCCATGCAGGATCACAGGTAGGTCAGCAGCCTGCTGGTGATGCAGGGATCTCCTGCAAATACACCTCACATGTTGAGGTCCTCCTTCCCCTCTACTCTGCCCTGGTGAGACCTCATCTGGAATATTGGGTCCAGTTCTGGGCCCCTCAGTTTAAAAAGGACAGGGACCTGCTGGAGAGAGTCCAGCGCAGGGCAACTGAGATGATTAAGGGAGTGGAGCATCTCCCTTATGAGGAGAGACTGAGGGAGCTGGGTCTCTATAGTTTGGAGAAGAGGAGATTGAGAGGTGACCTTATTAGTGTGTATAAATATATAAAGGGGGAGTGTCCCGAGGATGGAGCCAGGCTCTTCTCAGTGGCAAACAATGATAGGACAAGGGGCAATGGGTACAAACTGGAACACAAGAGGTTCCACTTAAACCTGAGAAGAAACTTCTTCTCAGTGAGGGTGACGGAACACTGGAACAGGCTGCCTAGGGAGGTTGTGGAATCTCCTTCTCTGGAGACATTCAAAACCCGCCTGGACACGTTCCTGTGTAACCTTATCCAGGTGTTCCTGCTCTGCAGGGGGATTGGACTGGATGAGCTTTTGAGGTCCCTTCCAATCTCTAACATACTGTGATACACGCCAAGGTGCCCGTGTGCACCCCCAGCATAAACCAGCAGTTCTGCTGGGCCAGCCTGCTCCATGCCCTGGGGCTCTGGTACAGCCACACACATGGATTTTCCAAGGAAAGCCTGTCTGGGAGCAGTGCAAGCTGTGCTGTCACCTGAACTTGGCACAGGAACATGGGTTCCAATCAGAGCTGGGCTTCTGCCCATGCCTGTACCCACAAAAGGGGTGATCCTGCCTTGGCCATAGGGTCCTGTGGGGGTTTGGAGCACGTCAGCCTCTCCCTGCGTGTCCCCCAGTACCAGCTTGTCCTGAGTTTCCAGCTCCTGCAGAGCAAGTTCCCAGGAGCTGGCATGGAGCTGAGCTGCTGGTTGTGTCCATCCTGTGCCAGGAGCCTTCACTGGGGCTGCAGGGATGGTGGAGGGGGTGAAGCACATCAGAGGGGCTGTCCTGTAGGTCCACAGCACATCAGCACCCAAATGCATCTGTGAAATGCAGTGAATGGCACAGGGACTTCAGGGATGTCCCTGGAGACCCCAGGTTCCCATCCCATCCTCTGCAGTTACATGGTTGTGTATGTATACATATGTATACACATACCAA